AAAAAAAAAAAACCAAGTGCATCATACATAGGATAAAGTTTCATGCCACTGTGTCAGTTTATACACATACACAGAGAAGTATGTATGCCTGTAAAGGATCATGAAGAACATGTATTTTACTGTGGGTCATATTCAAAAATATTCGAGAGATACTATTCTAGAGGTGCTTACACATAAGCAGAAGAACAAGCTGTTCACTGCAGTATTGTTCTAATATTGAAAGCTAGAAGCAACTTTGTTATATACTAAGCAACTTAATTGCTTGTCTAAATGCTGTCTGAAAATTAGAAGGAATTAACTACATTTGTATATAACACAGATGAATCTCAAAAACACTATTTTGAATGAAAAAGGCAAGTTGTAGGATAATAACTATAGTGAATTTTTAAAAACAGTATAATATACTGTTTGTAGGTATATATGTACTTAAAAGTATAGAGGATGTAGCACCAAATCTTTTGAAAGTTTAGTTTTTAAATTAATGTTTTATTTTTAGAGATGATATATACAGTGTATATAGTGTTTTTCTCTACATCCTGACCAACACCTGTTATTTCTGTGGGGTCATAGACATTCTGATAGGTGTGAAGTGATGTATCTCACTGTGGTTTTTGTTTGTTTTCATTGTGGTTTTGGTTTTCATTTTTCTGATACTTAGTGATGTTGAGCATCTTTTCATGCATCTGTTGGTCATCTGTATGTCTTCTTTGGAAAAATGTCTATTCAGGTCCTCTGCCTATTCTTTAATCAGATTATTTGGTTTTCTGGTTTTGAGTTGTGTGAGGTTTTTTGCCTATTTTGGATATTAACCCCTTATCAGGTATGTCATTTACAAATATGTTCTCCCACTGTGTAGGTTCCTTTTCATTTTGTTGATGGTTTCCCATGCTGTGCAAAAGCTTTTTGTTTTGGTGTAGTCCCAATAGTTTATTTTTGCTTTTGATTCCTTTACCTCAAGAGCCATATCTAGAAAAATGTTTCTACAGCCAATGTCAAAGAAGTGGCTGCCTATGTTTTTCTTCTAGGAGTTGTATTGTTTCAGTTCTCACATTTAGGTCTTTAATCCATTTTTAGTTCATTTTTGTGTATGGTGTAGGAAAGTGGTCCAGTTTCATTCTTTTGCATGTAGCTGTCCAGTTTTCCCAGCACCATTTATTGCAGAGACTGTCTTTCCCCCATAGTATATTCTTGCCTCCTTTGTTGAAGATTAACTGACCATGTGAATGCACATCTGTTTCTGGGCTCTGTATCTATTCCATTGATCTAAGTGTCTATTTTTTTGCCAGTACCATACTATTTTGATTATTATAACTTTGTAGTATATCTTGGTATCTGAGATTGGGTTACCTCCAGCTTTTTTCTTCTTTCCCAGGATTGCTTTGGATATTTAGTGTCTTTTGTGGTTTCATACAACTTCTAGTATTATTTGTTCTGTCTATGTGAAAGATACTATTGGTATTTTGAAAGGGATTGCATTGAATCTGTAGATTGATTGCTTTGAGTAATGTGGACATTTTAACAATATTAATTCTTCCAGTCCATGGATATGGAATATCTTTCCATTTGTTTTTGTCCTCTTCAGTTTCTTTCGTAAGTGTTTTATAGTTTTCAGAATATAGGATTTTTATCTCTTACTTTTTTTTTTTTAACGTTTATTTATTTTTGAGACAG